TAATCCGGAATGATCTATAGTCCGGACCTCAAAGCTAAAAACTTTCTACACATGCGCATAGGCGTTTATGCGTGCGCATAAGACCTTTTACGACTGCGCATATGTGAGTGCGCAAGCGCAGAATACGTTTTCGCGTGCACGTTTTATGTATAACGGACGGTATAAGCTAAAATTAGCTAATTATCTATTTCAGTTAATGTTGATGATAGCGTTCTTCCTTAATCTTCTAATTGGATCTGGCTTATTATTTTTTGAAGACTGTAAGAGCAATATTATAAAAGTAAACTTGAACTTTCGATTATGTCAAATACAATTTCCGATTTTGGAGCTCCCAAAGGATCGTACAAAACGAAAGTATGTTTCGATGTCCATCAAACAAAAAGTGGAATTGCTGCAAAAAATGGATAAAGACATGAAGAATGTGACAGAGAGGTTAGTGAAGACAAAAAAATTTCGATTGACAAGTTAGTCGGTATTCTCGACACAACAATTAACAGGACTTGAACAGTGGAACTTTGTAACTGAACAAGAAATTATGTCTGTTTATAGAATTAAAGAGAAAGTATTATCAGATAAAACGAAGCAACTTAAACAACTTACATTGAGAGAAATGTTTAATAAAGTAAACAAATAAATATTAAGCTTTTTTTTTTTTTTTTTTTTTTTTTGTAAATTTGATACCCTTTAGATCATAATTGTTTTTATTTCATAATTACGGTTTCATATTTTTAATTTTAGAATTTCTGCATGCCATCTTACGAGATTTAAACTGATGATCTATAATCCGGAATCGCCGAAGTCCCGACGAGTCCGGATTAACGACTTTTGACTGTACTAACAAATCTTAATATATTTTTATGTGTTAATAAAAATGTGTTTTGCAATCTTATAATTTCCGTCTACAACCTTTTTTTGGATTACAAGTTAATTAGCCATGATCTCACTCGAAACTGCGATGGATACAAGGTAAGAAGAAATATTTTACTCTCTACTTTTTGTGAAACTGAGGCTATAAAAATGTTTTACAACAATAACAACAATAAATTTCAAACAATACCATATAATTCTGTTTTAACTTAAAAAAAATCAGCGAATTGCACAATCTAGGCATTGCACACAAATCAACAAAATAAACTAAAATAAATTACAAACAATTCAAAACACAACAATAACGACAGAAATCCATAGAAAAAAGCAATGAACATAACATTCTACAAAATAAGAACAACAATAAAATAAAATGCACTTACCATTGTGAGTGCTTCTTCAAACAGCGGAAGTATCAATTTCAAACATCAGCAAAACAAAAAACACAAACATTTTCATCAAATATTCTACAAACAAATATTCAATTTAAACCATTCAACAGTTCTTACAATTTCTACAAATTTCTTGAAAGGATCTTTTTCTGTTTCAGAACAGTAATAGAAAAACATATAAAGCACTAAATAAAACTCAAAATCGCAATTCCGATTATAAGTAGGCAATGTAGCTTTAACATGCCGCCACGTACTCTCTATTGTATTTATATGACAGCCAGACTCACTATCCACAAAATTTACACTATGATTCACAAATAAATGTTCAAAACTTTCTTTTCCTAAATCTGTGTAGAATTTCTAGCCGTCTGAAAAAATAGTTGTACCAGGCACACGACTGAAATTTTGCCACCATGTTTTTCATTGCAACATAAACCATTTTGAAACCCCACCAAACGAACCAAGCAGCGAATAAAAAAACTACAGCAAAATCAAGTTTCAGCATAAAAAAAGTTGCCATACAAACATCACCCCCAAAACCATCGCAGAATACGCAATCGTGTCAAAAACCAGCGCAGAATAGATATTGCCACATTTGGCGACCTGAAGGTATAAGAGTAGTAGAGTAGTACCATATCTTATAGCACTAATTAAAAATGCATAGTAAAAAAAACAGGCTCTACTCTTATATGCGGCTTAATATCACCTTGGTGATACGTGTTCTGCGCTGATTTTTGGCACGATTGTGTGTTGTATGGCAACCTATTGACATTGAAAAATCTTTTTCTGGAGGGGTTTAATTGCTCGTTGGTTCGCGTCGTGAGTGTTTTGGAATGGTCTATGTTGCCAGATTTCAGTGGTGGCAAGATTTCAGTCGCATATTTTAGATTGTAAGCAAAGGAAATCTAGTATTAAAAGGTACAATGTTGGAGTTGTTAACGAATCTGCTCTGTGTCTGAGAAGATAGGGGGCAAAGATAAAGTGGTGGAAGTTGATCAATCGAAGTTCAGCAAAAGGAAATATTGTTTTGTTTTTTCTTCTGATACCATTTTGTACGGGGTTCATATGGATTTGGAGTGAATAACAATGACAGCACTTGATGGAATATCGAAACACTATTTACCAATATTAATCTGGGCAGCTCCAAAACACTTTTACAGTCGTCGAAGATCTACTATAAACACGCTAGAACAATTAGCAACACAGCCTTCACATTATCAAGCAATAACAGTAGAGACAGCTTCACTGCAAAGCACTGGAGTACAGCTCCTGACTCTGATCGGTCGTTCTCGGAACTCCACGCTACAACTCGCGATGCACTCGACGACACACAGAGCACAGCTCCCGACTCTTTGGTTCAGTCGTTCCCAGAGCTCAACACCCTCTGTCGACGATGCACTAACCGCAATACACTAACAGACTCTTTCGATGCACTCGATGACCCACTCGACGCCTGGCTGCCAACTCGATCGACTCCACACGGACTAACTACATGAGACAGACTATCTCTCCGCGTACCAGCAAGGTTTATATAGCCTTTGGCTTGTGTTCGAGCACATTCTGGGCTAAATCGTTAAGAATTCATTCCAGAAGGTTCTCCCATCTGTCCATGGCATATCGCCAATTTTGTCGCCAAATGGGTGATTTCTTGCAAAATGTGACAACCCTGTCTTCCCTTGCCATTTTACGGCAACCCTAAAACTGCTTTGAGGGGAGCCATCTCACCTCGCCTGTACATTTTGTAACAGTATCATCGTGGGTATCCTGTTCAGGGGCAGTGGATATTTGGAGGTGTGAAAAGAGGGTTTGGGAGATTATTTTTAGTGGCTGTGCATGATAGAAGTAGAAAAATGCTGATGCAGTGTATTAAAGAGTGGATTGAGCCTGGTACAACTATCTTTTCGGATGGATGGAAAAATCTTACTCGGATTTAGAAAAAGAAGGTTTTGAAAATTTATTTGTGAACCATAGTATGAATTTTCTGGATAGTGTGTCTGGCTGTCGTATAAATATGATAATGATTGCCTGGCGGCATGTTAAAGGCGGTATGAACTTGGTATTTCTGCTGTTCGAAAAAACATTCATTCATGCTGATTATTTTATTCTTGTTCTTATTTTGTAGAATGTTATGTTCATTGTTTTTTTAATAGGAATTTCTGTCATTATTGTTGTTTTTTGAACTGTTTGAAATTTATTTTATTTTATTTAATGATTAGTGCATAGTGCCTATATTGTGCAATTCATAGATGTCTTTTAAGAAACAGAACGCTGTGTACATGGCATTCTTTGAAATTTATCGTTGTTAATTTATTAAAGCAAGGTGTTTGTAGATTCATTCGTTGCCTTGATTGTGCAATTTGTAGATTTATTTTTAAAAGTTTTAAACTGGATAATGTGTACATAGGAATTCATTGAAATGTATTGTCATTATGTTAATTTATTAAAGCGAAGGTGTACATAGTTTGTAGATTCATGTTTGTTGCCTAGATTGTGCAATTCATAGATGTATTTTTACATTAAAACAAATCGCTGTGTACATGGATTCTTGTCAAATATTTTTGGTTAGAAACTTCATGTTTTTGCTATCTAAATTTTTTTGTTTTTGTTTCAGATTTTAACTTAAACTGTGTGTTCAAAACGTGGTTTTTGCTTAGGCTTAAAGTTTGAAATGTAGACAAAAAATTTAGATAGTAATATGGCAGCGTGGAGTTTCTCACCAAAAATGTTTGGCGACTTGAGGGCAAATATAAGAGTAGTTCCAAAAAATGGATATTTTTTGCTAGGAAACTGAAAAATAAAAGGTTGTTTAAGAGGCTGGTAGTATTCGGTTTTGAAAGCCGTAAAAAAATCACCAAACTATCGTTGATGCCAGTGCTGAGAAATATAATTGCGGCAACCCTAACACAAGAAAGGAAGTATAATAGTAAATAACTATCTAAGATTGATGCTTTAATTTCATATAATACATTTTTATTATTATAATTTATATAAAAAAGGCTAAACATGACTGAATGGAAGCATAAGAGTAAATAACTATTTCAGATCATTATTATAATTTATATAAAAATTGCTAAACATAACTGAATGGATGCGGATGCCTACATCGCTATTTCGCTACCGAAATTATCGCTAGAGCACAATTTCATCTTGTTGGTTTCTTGTTTTCAAACATAATTTTCTATACGGAATGATGGTTCTTCTTTGAAAAAATTCTCGGTAAAGTGCAGAATCGCCCACTTCTTTGTTTTGCTGCTTTTACAAGGGGAAAAACAATTGGATTTTTATCAATTTTCTTTTACTTTTTAAGTGAAATAGGTGATGTGTACATAGATAAAGTCAAGGATTTGCGCAGTGCCATTTTTGTGCAATTATGGGATTTTTTTAAGCGAAAATAGGTCGATGTATACATGGATACCGAGTACGAGCAATTCTTAAAAACGCGTCATAAAATTAAATAAATTTTTAAAAATAAATTAATTAAAATAAATAAATTAGGGAATAAAGTATATGGGACATCATAATTTTAAATGCTGTACATCACATGGTTCATATTTATTATTTACCATACAGTAAATATTTACAAAGCTGTATGCTACAATACCATCGAAAACGCAGGTAACAGAATAATAATTCTAACGATGACGCATATTCACTGGAAGAGAGATATTATAAATGGAAAATCAGTTATTGTTTAAAAAAAATATAAATAAATAGAAAGGTGAACTTCGTTAATATACTTACGCAGAATTTTCCGGCAAATTTCCGTTCAGCTCAGTCTGACTAATTTCATTTTGTTCCAGAGACACATCACTGTAAAAATCATAAAATTACTGTAAGCGTTCTCGTCAACTTAAATAAATTTTAATAATAAATGAGCAGGAATAAAAATATTGAAAAGAAAAATGTCTTACGAATCACTGGAATTATTCATGTTCATTAATGGTTCAATCGGTAAACTGTAAAATCATATTAAAGTTATACGAAATATGTAGAAAATTTTAAAATTGAGTCAACAGTCGTTTATCGAACAAACTTGTAATTGAAACTGAAACCCAATCAATAACATCACGATGCTGCCAAACTACAAATAGCCAAAATATATTACTGCGTAAACTATCTTTCTCTCAAGAAAGCAATGCGAGTAGTCATGAGTTTGTGCAACTATATGTATAATCACGATACATGAACAACTGTTTTACTCATCATCAGGATAAGATCCAAACAACTGTTTTACTCATCTTATCCTGATCAATATGAAAAAAAGTATTAATTATTGATTTGGCTTGCAATTGAATAATCCTTTCTTCCAGTAGCTTTTCTTGGAAGTAATTCTACAGCGTCTTCTGCTGTAGAAATCCAGAAAACCAGAGAAAAAAATAAAAAATTACAATGCCATCTCCTTGATAGCTGCAGAAAAATTTTAAGTCACCTTTTATTTATATATATTAAAAAATACTTTAATCCTTTTTTTAATTATCCAAATTATGTATACTTTTATATTATATAATGGTAACATTTTACTTATGAAACAGAAAACAAATATCCCTACAGTCTTCTGAAATTTTAAGCACTACGGCGTGTTTCTTAAGAAAAATATTACTTTCCTTGAAGATGGTAGAATCAAAATTTACTTAAAGATCTATTTTTTTCCCAACTTATACTTCCTTGATTCTGGTGTGTTTCTCCTTAATAGTTACATTTTTCCAATTTCATTACTATTTTTGGAAGTTTAATACCATACGTATTTAGCATTGAAAACTGAATTGTGAACTTCGAAATTTTTTGCCGAAAGTGGACGGGAATTATCACGTGATAAAACTGTCCAATTGTTTACTAGAATCCTCTGTCCTATTTCGTAGCCGATCTGAAGTTTTCAGTGATTCGTTCGCGGTTGCATTCTTGCACATTGGATTTGCAGGCTTTAGGTGGAAAGTTGTGTCGTCTGTTAAGTGCTTGACAGATTGTTTTATCGACATCTTGCGTTTATTTAATCTTATTTTGCTAGTATTTTTGTATCAAAAATGGTATATTTTACACTGTTTTATGTTAATAGTAATGTTAGCATTTTAATTTTGTTATTTTCAGAAACTTATTTGTTTTTAACTGTTTCAGGCCGGATTCAGTGATGATCAGTTAACGGGTGAGTGTATTTCTTGAAATTCTCTTCATTGTACGTAGGGATGTTTATTACGATTAAGTAAAATATAATAATATTATAAATAGTTATGTAGTTGAGAGTTCTCTAACATATATGTATTTGTTTCAGAAAACGTGTTGTGTCCTTATGTGGTAAATGGGCACACCCAATTATCATTCATTACCTTACAAGGCAACATTTCTTCGCGGTCACTTACATTGCGGCCATAAACAGAACGATAGTTTTAACAAAGTTAATGTCAATTTTTCTTAGTAGGTATTATAAAATCATAACTTTTGCAAAATATTTTATAGGCTTCATATTCGTTTTTCGTTTTCTATTTATTTTCATAGTCGTGCGATTTTCTCCGACGAATCTTACAGCATAAAAGAATTGCCATATCAAAACGGGAATTAGAAATGAAGCTCGTGTACAGCTTGTAATTGCTATATATATATTTTTTTGTATTTTGAGAAGTTAAAAATAAAATTTAATATTGACAGTTTTTAATTTTCATTGGTTTTTATATAGACTCCTTGCCACCCACATCTTTAAAATACCTTTCTGTGAATTCATACTTTACCTCACAATGATAGTCTTTTGATCCATAAAAAATTTATTAAATGTTATAAAACGTGTTTATATATTCAATAAGTCACCGTTGGTTAGAATTTTTGTTTATTTCCAAAATTATGTGATATTTTATAGATTATTTTGATAAGGAAATTTTAGTAATATTTGCGGGTGAAATGCAGAATTGCCCCACTTATTTGTTTGGTTTGTACCTTTAGAAATGATTTACATTTTATAATATTGCTCTCTTAATTTTCAAGAAGCAAAGCAATTCCGGTATTTTTTTTTAAGTGGAAATAGGTTGATGTGTACGTGGTATTGAGTTTTTGCAATTCTTAAAAACGTGCCTAGCAGTGGGCGATTCTGTACTTTCCCCTACTTGCTATCATTTAAAATTGTTTAACTATGCTTTTCTTTCTTCCTTTTTTTCTTCTCCTTTCTGAATATTGTTCAGATATGGAAATGCTGGCTATTTAGCAACTAGCAGCATATTTTGGAAGATAAAAGCAATCAATATTTATTCAAAAGGTTGTTAAATTTTGGTTTGGCTTCAGTAGAATATATTTAGGTGCATACAGAAGAGAGTGCAATAGAATTTAGAATAAATGTCAGTAATTCAGTGTTTAAAAGAGGCTAAGTTCATTTTCATTGCATTCATTAAGCCATAGTCAGATGTGATCACCGAATGATAGAGGCTACACCTTATTTCCTTTGTAGAATCTTTAAATATGAAATAACTTGCACTCGTGCAATTTTCTTGAGTACGTAATCATCTCCGTAAGCATCTGTATTATGGCTGTTAAAAGTATTCTAAAAGCATTATAAAAGATAAAGGGCATTGTAATTCGTATTTAATTTAGAGCAAGTAATACTGAGTGTGTGATATTCTACATTTTTAATTTGATTTAAAATGTTTTAACATATTTTTTTAAGAAACAATTAAAAAAACTTGAATATTTTTACTAATTTTTTGTTGCACTATTTACATTAATATTTTATATAATATTTTATTTAATGACATATTTGCCTTATTTGTATATCTTCCCGTTTTTTCAGAGTATAATTTAGAAACTTCTTATTTATAATAAAACATGGACGACACAGATAGGATAATATGTTGTGTAAGTTAAACATCAAAATGAATAATTTCCATAAAACAGAATACAATAATACCCTAGTGTCTCTTCAGTATGCTTTTGTTTTTCAGTAAAGCTTTCCTTTAGAAATAATTTACATTTTATAATATTGCTCTCTTAATTTTCAAGAGGCAAAATTAGTTAAAGGGGGGATACACAAGTAAATTTGGTATTTCTGCTGTTGAAAGAATAAAATGAATATATGTTGACTAGTTCTCCATTAGAATTGTGGGATTTTATGCATGTCATTTTTTTAGAATTTAAAATTGGAATTTCTTGACTTTTAATTGTTCTTGGATATTATCCATTGAAATATTTCTCATACTTAATGTATATCCTTTTAACTGAAATGTCACATAGTTTCATTCATCCTGTTGCCTGTTACCTGAGGCTATATTCTTTCAACTGAAAATGATTGTTTAAAATAACTTAGCAACTAATATTATAAATGCATTCATAAAATGAAACTCTCGCTGTTTGAAAGAATTTAGATGTAAAGCCTTCTTAATAGCAACAGATCTTTTTGGTATATTAAGAAAGCACTAATTCTAATTACGACAAATAAATTGAAGGTTTCACTCACTAAATATACCAGGCTCACCAGCGGCCCAGTGGTAAAGTCGCTGAACACTGGTAGTTCAGTCCGAGGTTCGAATGCCGCGCGAACGGGCTGGCTGCATGGGAGTTTTCATGGTTATCCCCATGTGTAATGTGTATACGAGCCAGTTTCCCTTAGAAAGTCCTCCACGAAGGCATCTTTCCTCTTAGCCAGATAGCCCTCGAGGCTTTGCCATAATACCCTCCCACACACACTAGATATACCAACAGTCAGGCCTTACGACAGTGGGGGAAAATAAAAGTATCCAAGTGCTAACTAAATTTTTATGGTCTTTAACAGGGCGTAATTCGTATTTGTAAATTACAGTTGTCAGTTTTCCTTATTTAAACTATGTTACCTTTTTACCTATCAGTTAGTTTACACACTCATCAGGAATGAGCATAAAAGCTTGCAGCAATCATTAAGGATTGAAAAAAGGAAAAAATAACTTTAAATGAGGATTTGCAAATATGCATATTTTATTGTATTTTATTAGATAAGTGTTATTAACATGAATTTTTATTTAGTACTTTAATTCAAACTTGCTTTCTTTACTTTTGATTGATTGAATTTTAGTATATGGTAATAGAGATTAAAAGCAAATTAAATTGAAAGTTATTATTTTATCTCCAGAATTTCAGGATGCTTTCTCATTATTTGATAGTCGAGGAGATGGTAAAATTAGTATATCTCAGTTGGGTGATGTTTTACGGGCTTTGGGTCAGAATCCAACTGAAGCTGAAGTGAAGAAATGTTGCCATCAACTGAAGCCAGGTAAATTTGTTTCATGAATATTATATATAGTATCTTTGTTATAGTTGCTTAACTTTTATCTTGTTGTATTTAATTAAATAAATTTAAGCAAAAAATTAAGTAATCAAAAGGGCACATTCAGAACTTTCTTAAATTTATGTCTTTTTACAAATTTATTGTCTTTATTTATTGGCTTTTTATAAAATTTTGAGCGATATTAAAATGTTTATGCCTTCAAAAAAAGAATTCGGTTAATCTTTGGATTATGGTAACTTGGCGATTTTTTGGCGAAAATTTGGCGACCAACCCTGCTACAGCAACCTGCTAGTTTTTGTTTGGACGCCATTTTGTTTTCACGAAGTAAAGGCATTTTTTTTTTTTTTTTTACTTTTTTTTTTACTCAACATTTTTTTTCCAACAATCTGCTAGCCGAATTACGCTTATGCTAGAACTTTTATGGAACAAAAGTGCTTAATCATGACGAAGATTAGGTGCGAAATCGGGAGAAAGTGCAGAACCGTCCACTGCTTGCCGCGTTTTTAAGAATTGCACATACACGGTATCATCCATGTACACGTCGACCTATTTTTCACCTAAAAAAACATCCCAGAATTGCACAAAAATGGCATTGCGCACACTCTTGACTTTATCCATGTACACTGCTAAAGTCCTAGCTAGTAATCTTTATCGCCTTACCAAAATGTCGCCAAACTACCTGTTACCATATTCCAAAGATTAGCCAAGAATTCTTAGAACTAAAATTTTTTAAATATTTTTTATGTGTATACTGTACATTGTCACCAATAAATTCTGCTTGGCGAGATTTGCGCCGGCGAAACGGAAAAGTACCCATTTTTTATATAAATTTTAAGTAATTAGCTGCATTCATTTTTCAAAAAGTAATTCTAATCCATAACTGGTTCATAAAGATTTTAACTTGTAAATAAAAATTGGTTGCTTGTATATCCTATGTGTTGAAACTATGAGCTAGTTTTGTAAAAATAAATAAAGAAAAATTTAAAAAAAAATTTTTTTTTTGTATCTTTTTAGCAGAATTCTGATTGTTTTAAGATTTTTAATTCCATTATTGAACTGCATTTTCTTTGATGGAATTTTGACTATAAATTTCTCGGAAGCACTTCCGCAGAGAACCCGGTAAATGTAAACATCGCCAACTTTGGCGATAATAGTTCTAACTTGGTAACCCTTCAGATTTATTCCATTCGCTTGTTCGAAGTTTGCAACCATTCCTCTTGCGTTTATTTTGTTGAATTAAGACTGTCGTTGTTCGCATTTGCAGATTTATATTCTTCTTCTCTTATTTATTATTATTTTTTCTGAATTTTTTAACATCGAATAGATAGAAATATTTTCGTAGATAGATACCGGTTCTCGGTTCGGGATGAAAGGAAGAAAATACGGCGGGAGGGGTGAATGTCAATTTGTAACACGGCTGTTCACGTTGTGCTCTTAATTATTAACAGCTCTAAGAACCACGAGGTTTCCAACCTCTAAAATACTTTGTTTCCGTAGGCCACAAAAATGTGCATGTGTATTTTAAATAATTAAGTAATGCTTTTATTTTTATTATTGGTTATTGTCATATAAAATTATGAGAATAAATCAATTTTTATGGCGTAAAATTTTAACAAGATAATATATTGTTAATGCTTTTCTAACAATAACCTTTCAAAGGATGGTAGGTGTGACATAAATAGATGATTAAATTGAAATAAAAAATATTATTGATTATCTAAGATAACAGAATAGTTTGATGCATCACCATGGCCTTAAAATTAGCAAACCATTGCTGTTGTAAGGAATATATTGTTTTCTGGGCAGTTTTCTGTGTTAACTGGAATTTAAGACAAATTATTTTCATATATTACGTTTAACCGGTTAATTTCAATATATTAATACTAATTTATATTTTTTTAATGAATTTTATTTTCGTTTATAAATGCTTATATATTGTCTTATGCTTAATATATATTCTTTTCTGTGCTAACTTGAATTTAATACAAATTTATTTTCGTATATCATGTTTAACCCTTTAGTTTTACATCTACATGCATATTATCTGTGAATTTTTACTACCATATGCTTAATATATTGTTTCATCTGCTAACTTGAATTTACATGCACTAAAAATCATGTTTACAAAATATCACATTTACGGCTCGGCTCATCGTCGATGAACCGCGAGCTTGGCGAGTAAGAATGCAACGGCGCCAACGGGTTCTCTGCGGATGAAAACCCAATTTCTCTTTAATGAGAATGCAGTATTTTTATATCTTGGATCAGCGGTAGTTGATAAAAAAATGTTCAACTTAGCTATTTAGATATGTTTGTGTCCTTTCGATGCATATTTTATGTTTCACTACCAAATAGCTATCAACACTTTGATGAGTATTGATCTAATATTACTATGGCTTTTAATTGAGTTATAGATCATACTTCTGCTCTGTATACATACTTGTGAAATTACTGTTTTAATAAACTTATTTCCTTCAAAGATCCAAATAACTGTAAAACTTTTAATTAGTGATCATTTATGCCCTAAAAAACTTCATCCAAGCTGTTATGGTTGAATGCAAAATATGAGTTATGTCATATTGCAATGTTTTGAAATAATTTCTTATACTTTAAATGAAGGTTTTTTATGGTTTCTAATGAAGGTATTATTATTAATGGCAAATTTTTTTATGTGAAATTAAATATTAAATGATATTTTCTGCGGAATCACCTCTTCTAGAACATTTAGTGCTTTTTCAACTACTCCTTTTATACTCTATATACAAATATTCAGCAGTTTTTAATTTCAGTACTTTATGATTATGCACATTCCAATGAAAAATTGCCAATTTGTTGCAAACTTTGTGATATGGAAAAAAATGTTTATTTTTACGATTAATAGGTACTCGGGGTTGGTTTTTTTTTTCTTGAAGAAACTGGAAGACATGAACAATGATGAATTCTTAGAGGTGGTAAATTTCTAATAACTATTTAATTTATACAAAAATAAATAGGTAAATGTTTACAATTGGATGCCCCTTGTTTTTTGGCGATTCTTTTTCGACGTCAAGATCGGCGCCAGGAAGGCACAATTTCAAGATGGCCGCTACACAAAACCAAAATAAGAAGTCAAAGAATTCCACAAACTCTGTGTCCATGTACACATCAATATGTTTTCACTTAAAAAACAAACAAACAAAACAAAAAAAAAAAAAACCCTAGAATTGCACAAACTAGGCATTGCGCACTGCCTTAAATTTGCCCATGTACACATAAATCTATTTTCATTTAAATAAAATCAGGAAGCTAAAACTCAATTAAAACTATCATGGTAACCAAAAGTGAGTTTCATCATCAAAATTTAAAAAAAAAAAATTGTCGCTAATCAAATAGTGTGCCCAAAGTTCAGTGAAAAAAGTGATGGAATTCTTATTCATTTGCTGATATATTTCATTGAATTTTTTCTGTCAAACATGTTGGCTCAATAAGAAAATGTTCATTAAAATTTAAGATTTTATAAATGAATTGAGAAACCAATTTTTAATTCATGTATTTAATTATTTTTATAGTTAATGTTTTATTATTTCAAATGGCTGGACACTTTAACCTTAATGCATTTGTCAGAAATGGCCAATACACATGTATCACTCATCAAGACCATTGCCTAGAAGACAACATATAAGAAAAGGAAAGATCCATCCCAATTTGAATGGAGAACATGCTAGGGATGATGTTTGATTTAGATGCCCTTTGTCTCCAAATTTGAAAGAAGTTACTGATGAAAACCTCTATACAGTGTTCAAGAACTGGCATATAGTCTAAATATTTCATAAACTGCTGTATGTGATCATTTATAGAAGGCTGCATATATATGCTGTTATGACAATATTTTAAGAGAACATAATACAGTACAAAGTCAGATATCCAGATATCTAGTATCCGGAATGACCTAAAATCCGGACATCAGAGTCACCATCAACTTTTTAATTTTTTTGTGTGCTTTACACATGCGTATGTGGAGAGTCCCGATTATTAATTTCACTTCAGCACTAAATAAAATATCTCGTTATTAAAGAAATAATAATTTTAGCATAAATTTGTACGATGAATAATTTCGCTCCGTAACTGCGTATCTCCTTAGCATACATCTCGAACCAAAACATTCTACGTAGACATCATTGATTTTACACCTACTAATATTTTATATCCATGGCGCCAACCTGGTGAATCATTATTTATTATATTTTGCTTTCATCACTTTATGTTTATCAACACTTCACAACTCATGTAGCAATGCCTAAACATTTTTTTTTTTGTATTAATAATTGAATAACAAAGAGTATGGTAACCATTTATGTTGACATTGCACTTGGCGATGATTACCGATTTAAGTTTAATGCGCTAAGAAATGTTGACAGGAAAAATTTAACAATTTCTTTATATATGCTAAAAATAAATTTTGTTAATGATACTTATAAGCCAAAAGATTACATTTAGTGCAATTTAAATTAAGAACAACTGACTCGTTATTCACATAAACCCAGAACCAGCGCCAAAGCACATATGGCCGCTCCGAGCGACAGAATTTAGGGAAGACAAATGGAGGCGCTTGATAGCGAGAATTTAGGACCCACAGAAAGCTTTAAGTATATGTGGAAATTTATTTATTCAGGACTTGGGTAAGCCTTAAGCATGTGCAAGGAATAAGCGTTAAGTATAATAAATAACTAAATTAATACAATTTAGGCTTAATTATCTCAGTGGGCACAATAGGAAGCAAGATAAAATTGAGCAAAACAACTTGTCTTTAGTCGCCAGTCTCGTGATACATAGCCAAATATGTATAGTGAATGATGGCTAAATATTATGATGATAGCCATGACTCTGAAGGTTTTCGGATATCACAAACCAAAGGTGAAATTTTCTAATTAACGGATTTTGTAAAGAAATGTGGAGAAGCGGTTATAAATGAAGATGATATAAAAGAAGTTTTTCATTGTGATGACAATGATCATCAATCAATGAACAGGTTGCAAAATCTGTAGTATGGTTCTAGATCCAGAAAATACTGCTACTGATAGTGAAGAAAGTGACAAAGAGGTTACTGAAAGAGAAAAAATTTCGATTGACAAGTCAGTCGAAATTCAAGACACAGCAATTACAGAGCTTCAACAATGGAACTTTGTAACTGAATAAGAAATTATGTTTGTCTATAGAATTAAAGAGAAATTATTAGCACAAAAAATGAAGCAACTTAACCAACTTTGAAAGAAATGTTTGGAACTACTCTTATATGCACTCTCAGGTTGCCAAATTTCTTGGCAAACATTTTTGGTGAGAAACTCCATGGTGCCATATTACTATCTAAATTTTTTGTTTTCATTTCAAACTTTAAGCCTAAAATGTCTCCAAAAACGTGGATTTTTATGTTGACTCATTTTGAACACACAAACGTAAAGTTTCTAATAAAAAATATTTGACAAGAATCCATGTACATAGCGATGTGTTCTAACTTAAAAAAAACACAATCTAGGCAGTGAACAAATTTATGAACTACGCACACCTCGCTTAAATAAATTAACATAAAAACAATAAATTTCAAAGAATACCATGTATACAGCATTCTGTTTAAACTTTAAAAAACATCTACGAGTTGCACAATCTAGGCATTGCGCACAAATCAACAAAATCAACTAAAATAAATTACAAACAATTCAAATAACAACAGAAATTCATAGTAAAAAAACAATGAGCATAACATTATACAAAATATAAACAATAAAATAGAATGCACTTACCATAATACATACGTGCATAAAATTTTGCCAGTCGCACATCTGTCAACAAAAGTGCCACGATTTTGCTATATCACATGTCTTTCTGTGATTCAAAGTTTCGAAAGAAACGATAAAATCTTCCCCCAAAGTTAACTTACTACATGAAAACCACAATCCAAATCTTAAACTCCGCTGACAACCACATATTAGCAGCAACCATTTGACTGCAAACCCACACAAGTCTATCAGAAACACCATTCTTCCTCTGACTTCTCATATCAGCTCTGCATTTTGGAATGCCAAACTCAGTTTTAAAATTCCTGACTTCCACAGAAATTCAAAAATGCACTTCTATCTGCAAAAACATACCCGTGAACAAAAGACTCGTTAACAACTCCAACATTGTACCTTTTAATACTAAATTTACTTTCCACACAATCTAAACTATGCGACTGAAATCTTGCCACTACGTCTTTATTACTGGGTGATAATGCAGTTAAATGTTCAATTTAGAAAAGTTTGTTATGAGCAGTTAGTATTTTTAGAACAGAAGGGGGAAATATCTAAGTTAAAACTGAAAAGTTAAAGGACTACTACTAATTAAGACTAGAATGTTGCTTTACATGCTTTTTATCTTGCATATGTGTATACGTAATGATGAAGGGGTTCAGTGTCTAAGTACTATTCTGTTATTGGAACCAGATTCAGATATTGCCAAAAGCTGACGATCTTGTGAAAATTTTGAAGCAAAGAAATAATCCACAAATAATTTAAATTACAATAAATAAAATACAGTCTGGTTAAGTTCAAGAAAAATTCAAGGCAAAAAATAACAAATATTCGTAAAATTAGAAATTTTTAATGTAAATTAAACAATTTGTTAAAGAAAGCAGAAGGGATCATTTTATGATGGTTTTTGATGCACTTGTTTCAGGCTGAATAATTCCTCATTCCTGAGGAAATTGTATGGAAGATATTTCATCATTAGGCAAGTCTAAATTTTCAGATCCCTGGTAAATACAATGGTAATAACACAAATGACCATTACATCTTTGGAATTTACATTCTCGTTGACAGTTTTGAAAAAAGTTAACATTCTAATTACTTTAGAAGTGAACATTGGTGACTTCATATGAAGCAATCTAATGGCGAGTTTGGTAAAATATTTCGCAGCAACTCCAATCCCAATAACAGAACAGTACCAATTTCTGTAATCGTAACAATAAAAAAAAATTGTTGAAAATGAGAGCAATAAAAGTTTCTTTCTTCTTTGAAGATGAAAATTAAATTCTTCTTTATATATTAAGATATACACAGAGCCTTCACTGGCAGCTTTTTTTGCACGATTACAGTTATCAAATTTAGCTCCATAAAATCTTTCTATGTGAAGAACTTCACTGGAAATTGAAGCGATCAAAAGTCAGTGTTTAGTTTATTTCATTTATGTAACATTTTTTTATAATAAAAAATCATAGCAAAATTCCAGCAATAGAAATGTTCCAGTTAATCTAAGTACATTTTTATAAGTATGAAATATTTGCAAATAATTAAAATTGTGTATGAAATTTCTGATTCTTGACGAGAAACATTTTGGCATTTTCCCCCATTTCATGATCTTTGGTGTATGCTAAGATTAAAAAAATACCTTTCAAAATTGAATAATATGTGAACGACTTTATAATATCAATTAACTGTTGATATTTTATGCTTAAGTCATTTTAATAACCTTTGTGTTTATTGGGTAAAAAATATGGATATCAAAAATAAGATTTCTGTATTTATTGAAAATTTTCATAGTTAATATATGTACTTTCTTGCAGATGAAAGGATTAGTTTTGAGGTTTTTCTGCCAATTTTACAAACTATAAGTACAAAACGCAGCACTGATACAGCCGAAGATTTCATTGAAGGTCTCCGTCATTTTGATAAGGATGGAAATGGATTTATCAGTTCTGCTGAACTGCGCCATCTTCTGACTACTCTTGGTAATTTTTTTTCCGTTTATTTATGTAAAAGTGAAATGGAATCATTTAATTAGGAATATTGATTTTATTCATTTTTCAAAAGCAGTCATCTTATATCCTATTTAATTTTAAAGAATTCATCATTTTTCCTTGAAAAAATCAATATAGATTTTTTAAATATATATATACACACAGAGAGATGCATTTCCATTAAACTTTGGTCTTGAGAACAAATTTTACTGTTTAAGAATGAGTTTGTTCATATCTGTCAAAGCTCGTATGAATGAGTTACATTCTGAATGACCGTTTATATCCTGACTTTGTTCATCAAATGTTTCTAGGTTTGCCTTGCATATCTTTTAATGATGTTTATAAGATTAGAGATACAAATACTGCCATACAAACAATTAAAAACAAATAACTGATACATTTTAAATGCCGGATGTTATAAATGCAATATTGTAAATTAATAAAGAATAACTCTGCTAAATCTTGGATTTTTATGTTGGAGGCATACCGAAATCAAGCTTGCAGTTCTTCACATGGATGGGGGTGAACAGCATATGACTCATCATTTAAAAACTCATTGACAAGTCAAGGAAATGTTTGTGATGAAGATGCTGTATGAGATGTAGAAGGAGTTATCATGTTGAGTGGGCCACCAATGGCAATTTCTGAAGTGTCTCAACAGGTTTCTTTTGTCATAAATAAGACAATAGCACTGTATGGCATTGTGCTCAGCAGACTTCATTTTAACAAAATTCTCAGAATTTGGACCTTGATTCTCTAAAAAAGGAAGGACAAATTTTACTTTTTGAGAACAAGTTTGTTCATATCGGTGAAAGTTTGTAAAAAAGGAAGCATCTGTCTGTGTATATGTAATGAAGTAGCAGAATTCACCTTCACAACTTTGATAGAACATGGCAAAAGTAACAATATTCATATTACAGTTTGTGAATGACTGCAAAGTGCAAACGGGAAAAACACCCTAATGCTTCATTCATCAATCAACTAATATACAGTAAAATCTGTTGTATGGCTTTAATTCCAAAAAATATTACTACTGATCATGAAAAAAGTGGTAAAGAGGTTGTTGAAAATGAAAAGAGTTAGATTGGCATTTTAGAGAGAATGCTCACCATGGCAGTTACAGGATTTGAACAACAGAAATTTGTAACTGAGAAATTGTCTGCCGATAAAATTAAAGAGAATATATTTGTGCAAAAAATGAAGCAGTATGAGTAAATTATATTGAAGGAAATGTTTAATAAGCAAATGTTGAGCCCCCCTCCTTTTTTTTTTTTAATGTCATCTTACTAGATTTAAACTGATGATTTAAAATCCAGAATTGAAGTTCCAGTGATTCCGGGTCATGAACTTTTAAATGTTTGTTTGATTCGTCTTAAATCCATATATGATGTATAATTTAAAAGAATATAGAGTTTAAGATTTGAAAAATTGTTTTGTAATTATATATATGTATACAGATATAGCTAGATAGATTCATATATTCAATATAAATTATGTTTTATGAAAACTTAGCATAGCTTGAGAAATTTTATGATTAATTTCAATGAAATTTCATATGTAAATACTCCTTGCTAGCTTTGCTGCAATTAAAATAATCCAGCGCAGGAAATTTCAAATGGAAATATAATATTGTACACACATTTTAAAATTGTTTAATATTTAAATTAAGGAAATGAATTTCGTGCCTATTTTTGCATGTACAAATTTTAAGTTAGAATCATAATTTTCTTTTAGTTTTTGCTTTCTGACCTCAGTCTTTTGGAGCCTGGGAGTATAATTTACTCCTAAACTGTGTAGAAATCTGTTGGAATTTTATGATTATACTCTCCTGAACCAAAAAATTTCAAACTCATTAATGACTAATTTTTCACCAACTTAACAGTAATTTTCAAATGACATTGCACTAAGAATTTTATACAAGAGGAGTCATTAAATAAAATGTATAAAGAAAGAAACATCAGTAGTAACTCTTTCCTCTTTTTGAGAAATTTTTTCCCCCCCACTATTCTCCCCATGTGCATAGCAATTTATTTTTGCTGCAAAAAATTATCAGAGAATTGCACAAACTTGGTGTTCCACAACTTTGGCACTGTGTATCAGTGAAAACAGACATTTGCTACATAATGCTATATAAAAGCTTTTTGAGACATCATAAATTTTACCACATAAATATTTTGCCTCATAAATACTTTTCTCTTGACTTTTCAATGGGGGTGGAGGTGCAGATAATCAAAGTACCGATTAACAGGTTTGTTTATTTTCATCTTGAAAGTATTTTATATCTTCGAAATTATTTGAAAAAATGCATGAAAACTTTAAAACTGATAGAATTTTTCTGTGACAGCTATTTACTTTTTATAGGTGAAAAATTAAATGATGATGAAGTAGAACAATTATTAGCTGGACAAGAAGATTCCCAAGGAAATGTTAATTATGAAGGTAATATTTAACAGGAAGTTTATTTTATAAGCGAATATGCAAGAATATGTAAATTTTTAAAACTGTGATAGTAATTATATCTTTTTTTAATTATTAAAGCTTTGATTGCAAGTGCTTTAAATTCAGATGACAATAAGCCTTAAAAAAGGGATGCAAATGATTTTTATATTTCATGTTTTTATAATACATGAGATTTGTTTACTATTGTTTATATTGCATGCATTCAGTTTTGAAATGGTCTGATAATTTTTGACTTCAAATAAATATATATGTATATTGTGTGTGTATGTGACTAGTTTTCTCATGCACCTAATTTGTAACTGTACATTTAGGTAAACCTGTGTTGTCTTAAACAAATCATGTAAAGTTTTAATTTGTAAATTTCTAGTAAAATTTAATTGACTTTGGAGATATATATGTATATATATCTCTGAGCTGGGTGCAAATATTGTCAACAGCAGATTTTTTTTTCATTTTGGAGATGGTATACTATGCCATCGTTAGTTTAAGTACTGAAATACTTATATCAGTATCAGAAATAACCAATTCAAAAATTTATTATGTTTGAAACATATACACAAAAAAAGTAGAAACTGTTTTAATGAAAAATTATGCTATATATAGAAGACGTTTCCTAGTTAAAGCTGAGAGCATTTAATTTAAACATAAAGCAGTGCAAGCAGAAATAAAAAAGGCTGCAGTTTTTCTTTCTTTAGTTAGGGGGCCAAAAACTTTAAATATCATTTAATATTCATTTCAAATATAAAGGAATCGGATAACATAAAATTCAGTCTTGATTATTCGGACCATATCCCTGTATAAATACTGTTTTTCTTGCAGTAAATAGAAAAGTTACTACCATCTTAAAATACACCTTCATTTTCGAATTTTTTTTGCACAAATTGCATTGGTAGGCAAAAGCCACTTTTTTTTTTTAAAAAAAAAGAAAAATAGTCTTGTTCATCTGTTTTAGGTAAGTTCCAAATTCTCATTTTGTAATTGAATGTACTGAAATGCTGATAAAATAATCAAACATTAGTGTTAGAAATCCACATGGAGAATAGTGAGAAATGGTTTCAATGTCTATGATGGCAACTAAAATTATTAGGTTGTTTGGCTTGTATCAGGCTAAAGATAAATCACCACTTTCTCATGATGTAATGCCACAGAATTTTTGCCATTCCTATTTATTTAAATTTTCATTTTATGTATTTTTATATTGTTCTTTATTCAGTATTTTTCTTTGTTTCCTTTCAGATTTTGTTCGCATGGTTATGAGTGGCTAGCTTTTAAAGTAATACAGTTTGAAACAGTGCTGATAGAAAATTCCATTAATAGCAAGTTCTTATTCTGAGAATACTTGATACTTGTATTTTTTATTCCAGTGCATTTTACGAAAAAGATCTGTTGAGTATTTAATCATATTTTTTTGCATCACCTTAAATTTTATTTTTTTTTTAATTGAATAGCAGTGAAACTTGTTGATGTTTGTGTAAATAAATTTTCTTATGCTTTTTATCTGCATCTAATATTTATAAATAATGCAGTTTCATTTTAAGTATGTAATACACTAAGAACTTTAAATTTTTAATTAAATGACTGCTTTACATAATATATATAATTCTTTGATTTTGGAACTTGGTTTCATATTCAGGAATAGTATTAACGTAATTAAAAAGGTGGGAAGGGAAATAACGGGTATTACAAAATAATTCGAAAATTGGGCATATCGAAAAAAAAAAATTACTTGATTTAAATTTGATATAAGCTTTCTTAAATCAGTTTTGTGTTACAAAACAGTGTTTCTAGCACTTGTACCATTATTTGAATGCTTTCTAGAATTTCTTTTTCTCTAGTATATCAAATAGCATCAGAAATTGGATCTGTTTATTAAAATACTGAGCTTTCAAGTTGAACTTCAATTTGAAGAAGAGAGGGGGAAGAGGGGGAAAAATGCACAAAGCTAATCTTATAAATAGAAAGAAAAGAGAAATGATTGTATTGTAATGCCTAAAGTTTTCATGTTTAATGCTGTGTGAATGGATATGTTGTTATGAATCATACATGTCATCACATTTCAGGACATTTGTACTGAGTGTATCCCTAGATGTTCGAGAATGTTACAGTAAAATTTCAGTTTAATATTGAAATCCAATGGAACTAATTCAGTGTGTACAAATTTTGAATATTTGGAAGGGGGTATCTTGCAGGACCTTGCAAAAAGTCATACTAAGAGTTATTTTTACCAATTTTACAGTTTTAAATTAACACCAAAATCATGCATTTTTCTTAAATTCATTGCAGTCGTTGATTTGTAGATAATGAACAAGAGATGCAGGTCAGTATTAAATTAATGGGATTTTTTCTTAATTTGTCTAAGGCCGAAGATCCACATTGATAATCACCAACAATTCTATTTACATAAGGAGCAAATCTCTCCTACAGTAATTTGGAGAAAGCTTCATAGCAAGTGAGCAGTAAACTTATCCCTCTATAGTTTTCACAAACCAAAGAATCTCCTTTTTTGTAGATTGGGCATACAACACTTATGATCTAATCATCTTGCATTTTCTCACTCCACCAAACATTCTGTGGAAAAACTCCATAGCTCTTGATTTACCATACTTTAGAAGCTCTGCCTGTATGACATTGATTCCAGGGGCTTTGTAGGTTTTAAGCTCCTTGACAGCAGGTGCTGTTTGCTGCATACTTGGTGGTGCCACTTCTCTGGAATCGGTCTAGATTTCTTCCTGTGTAATGTCAAAAGAATTGTAATTTTCACTGTCCTTTAATATGTCCTCAAAATGCTCAACTCATCATTCCAAAATTTGAGAGTTTTCACTAAGAATATTGCCTGTTTTATTTCTACAAAAATTGATTCTGGCCTTAAAGTTTCTTTAACAGTAGCTGACCTACTGTTGAAGAAACTTTAAGGCCAGAATCAATTTTGGCAGAATGCTCGACACTCGTTGATATTCTTCAGGAGTTCAACATCCTTAAATCTACTTTCCTCAAAAACTGTTTTCTTAGCTCCTTAAGAATCTTCTTATCATTTTTCTGTGCCTCACAGTATTCCTCTGCCATTCTTCTAGTACCATGTTGCAATGTTCTTTTGTATTTGACAAGGATTTGTTTATTTGCGAACGTACAACCTTCATCAAAACAAACTCTATTCTTCCCTCAAGCTGTGTACCCAAAATACACCTCCAGTGTTATATATTGTTATTTTAATCCTAAGCCATAAGTCTTCAAGATTGGTGGGTGTTTATTTTCACTTCTGAAATACTCCTCTCTCCAAGTCTGTAAGTTCTAGTTTTAAAAGTTTATTAAACATTATATATGTTAAGAAAATAAATCACTACTCATCAGGACATCAAATTTTTTTTAATGAATTTAGATCAGAAGTAGAGCCTGTGTTGGCCTTGTTGACTTCTTAGAGGGGCTGTAATTAAGCTTCCCGTGTTCAAGACGTATCTGCACATTCCATAAAACCATCTGGGTCAATATTTGTCATGTATTTGGCACCATTCTTCCCTTTCATATAAATTACTGCAGTTGTTCCTTGCTCTATGATATACAAGTCTTAAAATTTGCCATGGATAAGAGTGCAGAAAGAAATTATGCTTAAATTTCAACACTTTAATCTTTGACCTGAAAATTCTCCTTATTCCTTTTATCATAGTATAGATTTTGCTTGGTGCAGGTTTTATGCAAGTTACTTCTTATCTAATTCCTGAATATCTTTCCTTTGAAATTCTTCCATTTTCATAACAAAAAGTAGTTTATCCACAGATGTTATCAATTTTGTCCTCAATACAATTCTCTGTCCATCTGGGGTAATTCCTTTTTCTCTAACTATACTGCATCCAGTAGTATATTTTTTCTGACCACTGATTTTTCTTTATTCATCACATTGTTCTTAACACTCACTTTGCAGTTGCTTTTCTAATTGCATGTTCTGCAGCAGAAAAATTTATTATTCTTACTCCAAATCTGTCATATCAGCAGCAAAATGTAACACTATTGTCCAGTTTTATTCCATACTTAAGCCGCTTACCTGATATATATTGACGAAAACTGAGGCGTCCTTTCCACGGAACCATGCTTTCATCAATTACTATAGTTTTACTGCATCTTTGAATGTATGAAGAATTTTATCAACAACATTTCAAAGTTTACGTCCACATAGGAAAAGACTCATCTGATAATAGAAGAGTGAGGGCCGGCGTCCCTCGAGGATCAATCTTAGGGCCCGTTTTCTATCTGTTTTATGTGGCAGACCTACCTACTGACAACATAGACGAAAAGTATTTCCTGGGATGTTATGCAGACAACACAGCTCTTGCTGTAAAGTCTGCATAACCCAACTTTGCAATTTATAGACTTCAAAATCTCATGCCACAGCTTGAGCTTTGGTGCTCGAAGTGGAGAATAGCCATAAATGCTGACAAGTCCACCCTCCTTATCATCAGGAAAAAGAGAATGAGCATCCCTTTGAACACGAAACTGAGACTGTTCAGGACTGTCATGCCTATTGTAAAGAAGGCCACGTACCTAGGCGTCAAGTACAGCTTGAATTTTCAATGGAAAGAACATATAAATTACATCAGAAGTAAAATGGCAGGGGTAATTCAGTGCCTCACTGCACTGCTTTCTCTAGGCTCAAAACTAGACTTACGACGCAAAAGACACATCTGTGTCTCGATTATCAGGCCTATATTTGCCTACACTTCGGTCCATAAGAGAGAGCTGAACAAGTTACAGGCCATGCAAAACAAGCTACTCGGAATGATGACCAGAGCACATTATTTTGCCTCTAACCAGACCCTCCATCACGATCTACAGCTCGACACAGTTGAAGAATATCTTCATAAAGCCAACATGAAATTCTTTAAAAATGCACAGGACTGTAGTCATATGAATGCACTAAAGGTATTAAATTATGTTGTACTCGAGGAGGACATTATCTTCAGACCACTTGCGGCCCACCTCACTCGGGACTTGAATTTCCCTACGTAACTTTTTCTCTGATATGCACCTTATACAGTCAAAAGTCTAATCCGGACTCGTCGGGACTTCGGCAATTCCGGATTATCGATTTTCCCAAATTATAGATCATCAGTTTAAATCTGGTAAGATGGCATGCAGAAATTATAAAATTAAAAATATGAAACCGTAATTTATAAAATAATGAGCAATTACGATCTAAAGGGTATCAAAATTTACAAAAAAAAAAAAAAGCTTAATATTTATTTGTTTACTTTATTAAACATTTCTTTCAACGCGTGCATGCGTAAAGGATACATTACGCATAGCCGAAATTAAAAAATTGCAACCAGAAAACTATTTGATTTGTATTCGTGATATTTATAATAACGATTAATTTGATTTAAATCGTATCAAAGACGGAGTACATTGAGATAAAATACTACATTTAGTAAGAAATTATAAGCCGAATAAAATAAAAACATCTGCCCTGAAGATAAGGCTAGTGCTGACAGATCAACTTCCAGTTCATTGCGCACCGCGACATCCCCCCCCCACGCGGAGCAGCGTGAAATTGATAAACAGATTTCGAAATGGTTAGATAAACAAAGGATATGTCTTTATCCATTTTTTGTAGCAATTCCACTTTTTGTTTGATGGACATCGAAACATACTTTCGTTTTGTAGATCCTTTGGGAGCTCCAGCATCGGAGAATTCTATTTGACATAATCGAAAGTTCAAGCTTACTTTTATAGAATTGCTCTTACAGTCTTCAAAAAATAATAAACCGGTTCCAATTCGAAGATTATGGAACAAGGCAATCATCAACATTAACTGAAATAGATAATTAGATAATTTTAGCTTATACCGTCCGTTATACGTTAAACGCGCACGCGAAAACATATTCTGCGCTTGCGCAGTCGTAAAGGTCTTGCGCGCATGCGTCAAGGCGGCGCATGTGCAGAAAGAGTTTAGCTTTGAGGTCCGGATTATGGGTGTCCGAATTAACGACTTTTGACTGTAGTATTGTTTTCTGCATCTCATATTGTACCCCATCTTTATTGTATTTGTATATAATTTATTGTATATTTTTATGTACATAGTATCAATTTCTGAATTTAGCCTTGTATTTTATATTTTACTTTTCATTATACTTATATTTATGTTCTTTTATCAATTGTCTGATTTAGCTCTGTTATTTATTGCAACAACACAGATATGCACCACAGTAATCCTCACAGCTCCTTGATCAGCTCGTCTTGTATTCTGGCTTTTCTAAGTGATTGCACGGTCACCCCCTTCTTACCACCCTTTTGACTTTGCCAAATTGTCAAGAAAATTTAACGTCGTGTGCCCATTGGGCATTGCTTCATGAGCTGGACGCATCGCGCCTGCGCGATATTTCACCTATATCTACCCGGTAAATTGGGGCGTATTCATTTCCAAAAAAGTCAAAAATTTTCTCCACTACGCGTTGTGGGCGGTTTTGTACTTCTAATCGGGCCACTGAAGATTCAGAGGCAGGTCAATAT